TAGTAGCGATGCCCTTTGTTACTAGTAGCTTCTTGTTACTAGTAGTATGGCCAGGAGTTGCTAGTAAGCGTCCTTGCTCCTAGTAGGGCCGCAAAGAAAACACAGAATAAAAGAAGCAAAAAAAAGTATTGCAAAAGGAGTGCTAGAGTCTAGGCTGTAAAGCAACCGAAACAAATCGACTGCAGAAGCCTGAGGCTCGACAAGTCGTTGCGAGTCACCGGCTGATCTCCGGACTTCATCAGGGATCGAATCGCTGTTGGAGCAGTGTAGAAAATACTCACCTTCGGAGGTCCGAATAGTTTGAACTTCCAAAGTAAGCCTGTTAAGCCAAGTAAACCTCTAAGTTCTGAGCACAAGCAAATGGAAGCTTCTTGGCAAACAGCATACTACTGCACTGCTGCACTACTGCACTACTGTTTCTGCTTCTTGCCTTGTACTTCTCGCAGACTTTCCAAAAGCGATCCACCTCCGGGAAAGTGGGAACTCCTTCAAAAAGCACCTGCGTCGCTGCATTGAGCATTGGGCCATACGTGACATATGAATGTCCTGTGATCCACCCACAGTCCGCTGTACAAAAGTAGACGTCCTCCGGGTGGTAATCAAAAGTATACTTCGTTGTGGCAAAGGATCCCAGCATGTAGCCACCGGTCGTGTGCAAAACGCCTTTGGGCTTGCCAGTGCTCCCTGAGGTGTACAGCATGAATAGAGGATCCTCACTGTCCATCCACTCACAGTCGCAGGTTTCTGACTGGCTCTGAACCAACTCTTTGTACCAAACATCTCTGCCTTCTACCCAATCATATTTGGTCTGCGGCTCAAACGAAGTGCCCTTGAGGCGGCCTACGCATATGACTCGGCGGACCTGAAAGCCATCCTTCTGCGTAATTTCACAAGCCTTGTCTGTGATTGCCTTGAGTTGCACCGGCTTTGCTCCACGCATCACGCCATCGGCTGTAATGACCATGCTGCTCTGAGCATCCAAAATGCGTCCGGCCAAACTCTCGGAGGAAAAGCCACCAAAGACCACAGAGTGCACAGCACCGATTCGAGCACAAGCCAACATTGCCGCAGGCAGCTCTACAACCATTGGCAAATAAATGGAGACTCGATCGCCCTTCTTCACCCCCTCCGCTTTCAAAGCATTGGCTAATCGGCAAACCTTCTTCAGCAAGTCGTCATATGTGAACGAGGCATGTTGATCTTCAACATCATTGCACTCATGGTAGATTGCAACCCGTGATCCATGTCCTTGTTGAATGATTCTGTCCAGGCAGTTGTATGAGAGGTTGGTCTTGCCTCCCAAGAACCATTTCACAGACACTGGACCCTTAGTCCGATCAAAGTTGAACTCTGGACCCACCTTCTCGAAAGGTGTCTGCCAGTAGAACTCTTTGGCCATTTCACCCCAGAAGCTCTCTGGATCTTCGATACTTGCCTTGTACATTGCCTCGTACTCAGCCATAGACTTCACATGAGCATTCGCACTAAGCTCCTTCGGTGGCTCGTAGATCTCGGAGACATCGATGTTCTGATTGAAATCTCCCATGGCAAAAGCAAAACAACAGAAACTTTAGCTGGTCTGAGACACAGGGCCTGCAGCTAATCTGTCTATCAGGCAAGTCTTAAACCTGTGAGAAAACTGTTTCGGCGATGGTCTTTCCTCTTCGCTCTGCACTTCAGTCTCCTGCCTGCGACTCCAACTTGTCCCGAGCCTTGAGCAGCTCATCTCGCCTCGACCATCGTGATTGTCTGCCTATATTCTTCATCCGTCTCACCAGTTGTCCACACAGTGAGTTTCTTGGGCTGCCAACTGCGCTATGAGGCTATTAACTGTGTTTTCCTGGCGTGCAGAAAAGCTTGGCAAAACAGCTGATTATGCCCCCTTCTTCAATCTCTCAAGACTTCTGATTGCTGATACCGCACCTGATTCACGCTCAGGCCAGCACCTCACAACCCAAAAGGTTTGACAGCACGTTACAAACATTGCAAATGCCCAATATAGCAACAAGAGACTGACCAGGCAACAATAAAATTCAGTATCCAATGTTTAACAAAAGTGTTCACTATAAAACCAATCTACTCTCAGCTGAAAGCTGTAAACACCATTTACACTGGCCCTGCATGTAACTCCTTGAGGACCAGAGGTCCACACCCTGTTCCACTAGGTGGCTAAGGTTCGCAATCTCTACCTGGGAGCACCAACGGGCGTTCGTTCATTCACAATCGAGTTCAGATGTGACAATAGTCCGTTTGTCGAATATGTGTAATTATAGAAGATGCAATTCTCCACTCTTGGTCTGGTGTCTGTTTCAATTGTCTTGAGCACACTCAAAGCTCTCAAACTCGCTGTTCGAGGGTTTCCGAGTGGCCTTGAGGTTGTGAATCGTCTCTTTGGCCCTTTGCTCCTTCTCATGCGAGGCCTCAAAGCAGACATCAAGCCAATCTCTCAGCTCTCAAAACCTGTTCGCCTCCACCATCTTCCACGCTCTCTCAATTTCTTTCTTCAGGTTGGAGATGGTGGCCTGACACATCGTTTGGCAAAATCACCTATATTATTTTTTGTTTGTTGCGACCAATTCATTCAAATGAAGTCACAACGTGTCACACTGCGTCACACCTGGTCCTCCTTTGAGAGGTTCAAGGCCGTTTGCACCTGGTCAGGAGAGGTCGGATCTTGGCTCTGAGCTCTGGGTGGATGGATACCCACACTATGCAATTTTCGCCAGACCTCCAAATGTCTATCTTCCAAAGTATAAGTTGTAATGTTAAGTTTCCCTAAAAATCTAGAAACCAAACCAATAGTGCGAGCGCTTCTTCAAGGAAGCTTCCTCCGCCGCCTTTAGGGCGGGGGGAGCTTCCTTGAAGAAGCGTGAGCTATCCGTCCAGTTAGTAGAAGCTCACTTAAGCTACCTACCTCTTCTACTAGCTACCTCTAGCTGCTACCTCTGAGCAGCCTACCCCCCTAAAGAAAAGGACTTGTGTTTGAGTTGACACTGTCACAGTGAATCCTCGCCTTTGTGGCATTCGACACAATCTCCGCGTTCAGCTCACGGCACTTCTTGATGAGCCGCTTCTCACTGTCATGAGACCTGGGCTTCGACATTTGGACTGGACAAATATTAATATATATAAAGACTGATGTTGATTGAACACGACTTCTGATCGTACTTCTTCAAAGCTCTGTGGAGCTTCTCGTACTCCAAGCGGAAATGCTCCAAGGACTTGTCGCCAATGAGCTCCTAACTCTCCAAAATTGCACACATAGACATGTCTTTTTCAAAGACTGAAAGGCCATAGTAGGCTTATATAAGTAGCTCGTAGTAAGGGGTAAGTAGTAGCGGAAGTAGCCACTACCGATCGGACACACAAGGGCTCAAACTTACTAACATAATGGTTTGGTCATATATATAATTGACATAAACTGAACCTTAGTTTCTCGTGTTTCCTTGTTTGAGATACTGCATTGTTTTTTGTGGAAAGTAAACCATCGACCTGCTCAGCAGGTGACGATGGTAACTCACCATATCAGTATATCAGTTGAAGTGGAGTTGGAGGCTTGCTATTCTATTTTTTTCAAGCTCTGCAAAATCTGTGAAAGTGAAGCTGTGTTGGCGTTGCACGTCGAATCTTGGAAAATGAAGGTGAGCACAATCAAAGCACTGTGCTCCTGCAGTACCTCCTGGAAGTCCTTTTCTAAGGCTTCAAAGGCACTGGACCTCGCCCAACGGCCCGGCGCTTCATCTCGTCTTGTGGCTCCCACCTTTTGCCTCCAATAGCGGCCTTGTTACTAGCTAGACTAGTAGCTTCTTGCTAGTAGTAATGCCCTAGCTACTAGCGATTCCCTTGTTACTACTAGCGATGGCCTCCAACCTAATAGCGTCTATTGAGCCACTGACACACTTCGGGCTTTTGGCCAAGACACTCCATCTCATTGCGAGCGCCTTCGTCGACACCATCCTTGCCTCAGCTCAACCAGAAACCAAACACGCCCGGTGCTGTGCCATGCCCTGCCGTGCCCTGGTGCCCTGCCTTCCTTGCCGCTCATTGCCTCCGCATGAAAAAGATCTAAAAAAAGATACAAAATACTGGTTCCATCTTTTTCCCATGAGGCTTTGCGGATTCCCTCAAAAAGAACTGACCTGGCCTCGGCAAGCTGCGGTCCTCAGACACTGTAAAGCCCAAGACACTGTCTCTAGTTTGCTGTGCACGTCGTCTTTCAGCGGATCACACTGTCTCAGTGCCTGACTAAACTCTCATTCTTCGAAAGTCCTGCTGCGCCGCTTGCCCTACTAACTGAGCACATTAAAGGCTGCCCAGCAAAATAGAGAGTTTTCAAGCAAAGGCATGTGACAAGGGATGTGCGATGTGTCCACATGCCAAGAAAGTTAACAGGGCATGCCTTGCTTCAACCAAAGCTCTGTTGGTGTTTGTATTTTTCTTGGCCGACCATTTGTCACCAAGAAAGTTGCTGTCGACAAGGGTGAGACGTTAGCAGTGAAACAAAGGCCGCCAACAAAGGACTAGCCGCGGTTCTGGATGGCCGGTTCACAAGCTATTCTGCTCTCCAAAGTGGACTCCGCCCTGGCTGGGAATGAGCGACTGCATCGCAGTAGAAACAAGGGCATTACTACTAGTAGCTAGAAGCTACTAGTAATAACAAGGGCATCGCTATTAGGAATCTGTTTCCAAATGTCTCGCATTCGTCTCTTCTTTCAAGCCATGCCAACGGCTGCCAATGGATCCATTCTTTGCCTGGAGCACGATACGATGATGATATCTAGTGAACGCAAAGCAAGAGCCAATCCCACCTTGACCGTTGCAGCAGCCTCCTACAAACGTTTTGATGGCATGACTACAACAGGAAGCAGCTCTGGCCCAAACGCTTTCTTTCTGCTGTTCTTTCACATTTTATCTGTGAGCCTGGCGAATTGTCCGCTACTTGCCCCCTTCTGTTTACAGTGTTCAGCAGTGCCCTAGACTCTTTGAAGTGGTTCGTATGAATTCCTCCAGGAGCAGCATTGGCGGCCGTGCTCTTGCTTGAAACGGAGCCTCAGAAGGGATCAACAGGTGTCTCAAGCGCCTCTAAGCTATTAAAATCAAGGTTACCATGTGCTCAAAAAACTGTGGAGCTCTTCAATCTTCTTTGATCTTCGATCTTCTTCGATCTTCTTCGATCTTGGCTTGCTATTTTCCGAGTTCCCGAAATCTCCAAGCACCCATGCCGAATTCTCCAAAGCGTCAGCACGCCGTTGCCAACACAAACAAAAGCACTCAAGTGGATCTAAAGACTATTCCAACTAGTCCTCCAATATAACAGGCATCCTCAAAGCTTGCAGACCCAGCTTGACCACCGAGGCTGCAACTGAAGGCGGGCAGAAATACCAGCCCTGCAATTCCTTGCCAGGTCTGGCACTGCTGCAACATGTACTTTGCAGCATTTCAGCACATCACTGCTTCATAGCTGTGTCCACAGGAACAAATTGCTGATGGAGAATGAAGCTCTCGTGCTGTGTGAGAAGCAGGGTCAACCCGTCTCGAGCATTCTTTTTGGTCGTTGGAAAAATCGATACAATTTGCCAAGCATCTCAAAAGTCCCTGCGTGCCTGTGAAGAGCTTTGTAAATTTTGCATGACCTTTACTGAACAAATTATTGAAACCCCTGAGAACTGAAATTTGAACCACGCACCCCAAATCTAATATTGAAAGGCACTGCTCATTCTCGATCCCTGGGGTTTGCTTCACTTCACCCACTCGCTCCCAAAACCCCAACATTGAGATTTGGGGGGAAGCGGTTTAAACTGATAAGATTGAAAATTTTATCTATCTACTTATTTACAGTGACCAGTGCCTGCTTGAGAAGTCTTTCACCTTGAGTGACATGCCGCTTTAGATGCTTTGCAGCTATAGACTTTGTGAGACTGGCACCTGCAGAGCTTATGTACAAAACTTGACGTCCACCAAACTCAAACCGCTTCAACTCCCTCAAGAAGGGCTTTACATTACAGTAATTGAATTGTGATAGTCTGAGTCTCACTTCAACTTCCTTCTTGTCTTGGCATCGAAAGACAGCTGATTCAGGGGCAGCATCTGGTGTCAAGATTTCACATCTGCAGGGCGGGACAAGGGATGGGTCAGCGATACGCATCCGAATGCCACTCAAACGTAGTCCACCAGTGTATCAGTTTCTTCATAGACTCGTTGGGCAAGTTCACAGCGAATATGCCTCAAAGATCCTCAAAGTACGCCTCACTACTACCTCCCCCTGTTTCTGAAAAGCATTTGGAAAACGGACCTGGCTGCTACAGAATCAAATGGTAGGCTTTAGCAAATAGCTTGGAATATCTTCTCTCGGGAATACACTTGAGCGAAGCACTGCCCGTCAGAGCTCTGCTCATAGAGCAGCATCTGCAACCCTCACTTTGCACCAAAGACGAAGGCCCCACCTCACAGAGCTCTCATAGCTCTAGCAAATGGCATCGTTCTTCTTACTTCTTCCAACACCCCGATGCACCATACAGAGTGCATGTGATGCAAACCTCTTAGAATGGTATGTGGTATTATGTGAGATATGTCGGATATTGCACATGACAAATTGACGAAAGTGATCAGGCCCTTGTGTTTCAGAAGGGGGTGCTCTCACCGCCTGCAGCAGCAAGAGAGGCCGCTGCAGCTGCTGCCTGAATCTCTTCATCGGTACGGCGAGTGAAGCACCTTGGGCAAACCAAATATGGTTCGAAAGGACAAGATAGGTGTCACGATAGGGCGCGTTGTTTCGGTCTTGGACTCTCTCTTTCACCTTTTTCAGCTTCGGCCCACGTGTGCTCGTTCCCTGGGGGGCCAACGTCGGCGATTGCCAATCCTCGTCCTGAAGGCTAAACGCAAAGTCTCGTTCAACATTTTAGACGTAAAAGCTCAGCTCTGCAGCAAAAGCCCTCTGCATAGCACGCTTCAAGACATGTGGAGAATGCTGTCGAAAGTCCTCGTCTTCAATTCGGATGCTCCTCAATGCGCGGAAAGATGCAGAAAGCACATCAAAAAGAGCGGAGGCCCGTGCTGAAGGTCTGCTTTGTCTGCTTGTGTGTCCGATCGAAATTCGAGCGAGTTGCGTTTGCATCTTTTGCCCTGGGAGCAGCTCGACCTTTATTTGGCCCAGTGCCTGGACAAACAAGGAAGAATGCAATGAAAATTGCATGGAACTGAAAGAATCGTGAACGAAATGATCTGAAGGCAATGTGACTTTCGAAGTTCTGTGTGCGCCTCAGGTTCCTCGCCAAAGGAAGGACCGTACCAAGGCAGCTCGTCTCACAATCGGTGGAAAGCTAGCTTGGGATCAAAGTTTGCAAACCGTGTTCGCTTTTCCAAATATTGCAAAGTTCTTTCAACCCAAGTTTCAAGCAAAACAAGACTCTTCATCTCTTCTCTTGTTTTTGTTGTGCTTTTGCAAAGTTTTGCTTGGCAAATTTGCCTTCGCCAAGAAGGTGAAGCACGGCAACCCAGCCTCAGACTCCTATGACTTTATTATCCCTGGTTAATTCAAGCCACACAACCAATCTAGAACAGTTCCTCGTGCTTGTTGCCATTTCGCCACTTCTTTGCATGTTTCGATATGCTGAGGAAGCTGCAGGCAATTACGCCATCACCTTGCTCGTCCTGCAAAAGGCACCGCCAGCACCCAGGGACCCAGCGCTTTGCGCAGCAACCAATCAAAGGCCACACCTCGTAGGGCTCCAACCAACCATGCAGCCTAGTGACAAACAATGGAAAGGAGGATATTCCATGTCAAATTTTGGATACTCTCCCATCAAATGCTAGCAAAGTCCTATTTCAAACTCCTGCCTCGCATCTTGATCGGACAAGGACTCCTTGGACTCTCTCAATTTTGCTTAGCTGATGGCATGAAAACTGTTTTGCTTGCCCAAATTGAATCAAATGTGGGCCTCATAGGTGAGCCGATTGATGCGAGGATCTGTGAAGATTGCACACTCACCCTTGGCGGAGCGCCAGGAACCTTCGTATGTGCAATCAAGAGAAGGTCTCAGAAGCTTTTCATCCAAGAGCATGCTTGTGTCCATTCCAACAATGAGCCAGAGTCGGATTGGACGCCTGCATGGATGATATATATATATATAGTGTTTTTTCTCTTCCCATACCCTTGTCGTTAGCATCCGCCGCATTCAATGACTGCCGTCCGCTGCAAGCTATAGTACGGTTATTGTACAGGACACTTGTGCGGATGAACACCAACTCTCGAAGGCGGAATATGGTCTGATCGAAAAGCATCCTCTTCAGGCTCCTCGTTGTCTTTGCCATCGGTGTTCGTTGACACTAAAAGTTGGCCTTCACCTTCTCGGTGCCGACCAACTTCCTTTGCACGTCGGCTCATCCCGAAGGGTTCGGTGCCTTCCTGGAAGGCCTCTGAGCGCTTCTTGTCGGTCTTATCGTCCGCCGTCTTGGCTTCAGCTCCCTGGGCCTTTGAGCCTTGCTCCTTCTCCTGCGAGTCAAGGACAAAGACGTCTTTCTTTTCTGGACCTTCTTTGTCCTTGCGGTCTGCTCGCTGTTTCTTGAAGTCTTCGTTTTCTTGCCGGGGCCTTGCAAGGCTTTTGGGAGCTTCTGTCTGTGTTGCAGGAAGGCTTGCGGAAACCTTTGGCTTCTGTTCACTCTCAGCCACTCCAACGCGACGCGTGCTGGCTGTGTTTTTTTTTGTTCCGTTGGGAGGACAAGGAAGAAATATCCTTGGCAGCGTCAACGGACTGTTTGACCGTGGTGGCCGTCGCTGGTTTGGACGTCGGCCGGGTGGTGAGAAGGGACTTGTCGGCGAGAAAAGCGTTCAACAGATCATCCAGATCTATCTTAATGGCAAACGGCAAAACATGGTCTTGCCTTGGACCAGCTGAATCTTGCACCCGCCGTCCTCTGCAGCAATCTGTACCTTCATGGCGAATTCTGGTTGTGAGGCCTCGTCTGGGGGATTTCCGAAGGCACTTCCAAGCGGAGAAGCGTGCCCGCTTGGCAGAGGGGTTTGACCGATCGGCTCGCACAGGCCGTGGCTTTGCGTCGCCCACGAACCACGTTTTCTTCGGGGTCTGACACCCGTGCTTGAGGCAGGCTACGGAGATTATATATATATATATAGTGACGGAGTGAAACTTAGAACATCGAAAAAAATTCCAAAATGACGTTTGGACATCTTACATAGGAACTTAGAACATCATAAAACGCCATAACTTAGAACATCCAGCCCTTAAAATAAGAAAAATCATGTAATGTAATGATCGGATGTTCTAAGTTTTGCCCGAAATGATGTTCCACATGTTCTATGTTCATGTTCCACATGCTGCGCTCAGTTTTTTCTTCCCTTTGCTCTGTTCTCGTCTTTCTTTGGTCATGCTCTGTACGTGGAAGCTAAAAGGCTCCTAAATTCAAATGTGCAGGACCTGTGTGAGAACTATATATATACACATACATATATTTATATCTTGGAGGTCAACTAACCTCAATGCGAAACAACAACTTAGAACATATACATTTGTCTTCCACGCTCCAACTCTCCATAAATATATACAGCGTAATTATATACATATACTGGTTGTATGAAAATATATCTATCTATCCATATATATATATATGTTATATCTGTATTCATGGCAGCCCTGCACAGTATATATACATTGCATTTGTTTGTTGCTGAATTCTCAGCAGCTGGCGCAAGACATGCCGTCAGTGTAGGGAAGACACTCTTGCTCTGGAAGTTGCATCGTCCCCCTTCTGCATCACCCATTGGCGCTGAACCTCGCCTGCCTCACGGAATCAAAATCACCTGAAATCATACACATTTAGTTATATAAAAATATGTCTGCATCTGGCACATAGTCAGTATTATTCTTACAGATACTCGGAATATGTTCGTTTAAGTAGCTTGGGAACACACAACTTAGAACATCTAAAGATATCTACATTAGTGAACAGGCATACCCAA